CACATAAACAAAAATATTCAATAAATATTTATGAAAATAATTAACATTTTCCTATTTGGACTCGGTAATTATTTTCTTCAATTATACTAACTTGTATGACCTCTGTGTCTTTATTTAGATTGAATATTTTTTGAAGCCAAGAATCATATTCCTATTTCTTTTGCTGATTTTATTTAATTTTTCACAACCAACTGTAGATTCATTCCCATGCTGTGCGAGATGCTACAGAGAATGTAAAGAGAAAAATGATGTGGAATCTTAAAGAGGCTCAAGCTGTATATACTGTTATTTACTATTATGATAGATATTTGCAGTGTTACTTTTGTACTTATGTGGTGTGTACTCTTAATGTAATAACTTCATATTTGTGATTTTGAACAGGAATAGTAAATGTCATATGCTCTTTGTGTCACACATAGCACCATAAACCTCTTGATTTCAATGAATACTGAAAAAAAAACCTGTCATTTGATAGTAGGAGCCCAAGGAAACACAAGATATGTAAAACTCTTAGAGCTTAATAATTTTGAATGTCATATCAATTTGCCATGCATTGAGTTAGAAAATTAGCTAAGTTTTAAGAAAAAATGATCATAAAACTCTGTATGAATCCATCAAAGACCAATACTTGGCAAACCACTTTTGTATTTTATTCTTTAAGTTGTGATTCTCGAAGTTTGGTCCAGAGTTCCCTGGAAGACCCTGATAAGTTTGCATCATGCACAGAGCAAAGACAAAACTATTTTCACAATAATACTAAAACATTATTTGTCTTCTTTACTCTCTTTCTCCTATAAGCATCTAGTAGAATTTTCTAGAGGCTGTATGAAATAATCATTTTATGGCCAACTAAAAGTGTGCTTGCATATTTTCTGTTTTAAATATCCTTGTTGTAATTTCTAATATGATAAATGTCTATGTAGTCCAAATAGGTAAAATCTCTAATACAGTAAATATCAACAGATGAAATTCACATAAATATAAATTTTGAATATAAAATAGAAGAATTGCTGTGCTTATGTGATCTCATTCAGTCTCATGACTTTAAACCACCACCCAAATACCATCTGATGACTCACAAATATATAATTCTAGATTGGACATCTCCCCTGAATTCCAGACATAAACCTCCAACTGTTTACTTACATCTGTACTTGAATGTCTAAGAAGAATTTGAAACTTAACATCTCAGAATTTCCTGTGTTCCTCTACTTGCTTTTTATAATTTTCTTTATGGCAACAAGTGGTAATTCTATTCTTTGGCTGTCCTGTGCACTTAGAGTCTGACACATATTACTTTCTCCATCAATATTATCCTATTCCAACTCATCTTCCTTTCTAACCTAAATTTTTGCAATAACCTCTGAACCAGGCTCCATTCATCTGCTCTTACTTCCTTTTGGGCCATCCTCAATACAGAAGCCAAAATGATTCCTCTTAAAACAGATCATTTCACAGCTATTCTCAAAAAGCCCCCATTGGATGGCCAGGCGTGGTAGCTCATGCCTGTAATCCTAGCACTCTGGGAGGCCAAGGCGGGCAGATCGTTTGAGCTCAGGAGTTTGAGACCAGCCTGAGCAAGAGCAAGACTCCGTCTCTACTAAAAATAGAAAGAAATTGGCCAAATAACTAAAAATATCTATAGAAAAAAAAATCAGCTGGGCATGGTGG